TTCTTTTTTTTTTTTTTTTTTTTTTTTGCATTCTTATATGTCAGTGCATGCATATACAACAATGAAAGTTGCTTTTTTCTCTCGTTTTTTTGTCGTTGCAAATGGGCCAGTGGAATAACCCAAGGCCAATCAATGCCAGAAAGTCAACATTTGAGATGACATATTTTATATAAGCATCGAATACAATACGTAATCCAGTGTAATATAAGAAAAAAAAAAAAAAAAAATAAGCGAACAACAAATTTTGGAATTGCTTGCAAAACTTGTTCTATGCTTTTTTTATTTTTGTATTTATTATTCATTTTCATTTTCTATTGAATTTATAGCCAAATCCCCTGTCCCCAATGTGTACGTAAATATGTATGAATACATTTTCAATTATCTTCTTGATTGAAAAGAGCAAACAGTGAGATTTGAATTCAGTTTGTTAAAGCTTTCATTGGCATGAGTTTTTGTCAACAATTTTTATTATGTTCATTCTGGAGATGAGGACGGACCATTGCAAAATATATTGAATATTGACGAAATACACACAGATATGCTTGCTTTTGCTTAAGCTTAAAGTGATACGAAACTTATTAATAAATAACTGTAAGCAAGTTCACGTATCCCGTATGGATATTGTTTACAAACGCGCGAGTCAACCATATCAAGTTGCAAGGCATACCTAACGATTTCCTATTAATTCTTGGGCGCATTTATTTGTGATGCAAGAACCCCAAAGCTTTAGATATACAAATCTGGTGCAAACAACATCCAATGCACTTGCTTTAACGTGATATGCGAGATAACCAAACAATCGAATAGTGTAAATATGATGGTGCGCGTCCTATATCCTTCCATTTGTAACTTGTATTAAAGTATAGAAGAGTATGCGAAGTAGTGTAGCCGGAGCAATACAACAATACAGAATTCGAAACTCGCTATTATATCACTTGTCATCTCTGCCTTTGCAAGAGAATTGGTATTTACATTGCGTGAAAAGCGATAAGTAATGAAATTGATTTAGAAAAGGGGTTGAGTGACAAGAATTCTGGTCACCAGTTGCTGCAGGGTGGCTGCTGATTGCTGGCTCTTGCCTGCTCACTACTACCAGCACCGAGACTTCTAAGATCTGCTTGTGTAGTTATGCATCTATCTACATACATGTGCACAGGTGTGACGTTTGCTTTCAATGTAGACAAAGCATATAGTAATCATTTCAAATAATGTATTTGTATTAAATTATGCAACAACACGTGCGTAGTGAATGAATTAATTGACTGAGGCAGTTTTTATTGCATTTACCTGATTTTCAAATTTAACGGAGAAATGATGAATTTGTTGGCTCGCTTTTGCTTCTGCAACTGGTTCAGTTCATTTCTATGTCAAAGTCAAAGCAGAAAATTCGAGAAGAGATTTGTCCTCTTAACAAAGCTATGAGTGTGAACAGTCGCCCTTCCAACAGGAAGACATAACGACAAACAAGCGTAACGTTTCGTTACATGAATTATGATATATGAAATCTCGAATATAAAAATTTCAGTGAAGTTTTTATGAAAAAGTTTTTTTTTTGCACTTTTTGAAATCGTTCATAAGAAAACATTTTTTTAACAAATTAAAAAAAAAAAAAAACTATAAACGCTGTTCTACTAACAGTAAGGTTTGCACGAGAACCTTTGTACTCGCTTAAGAGTAATCGTTTTGCAAGCTCGATCAGAGTATACGCGCCACAGTTCGTTTCAATTTGCTCCCTCTTTATTATTTCAAAAACTAAGCGTCAAGCTTAACTAATATTATAATGAATGATCTGTCATTTCACGCATTGTTTGAAATTAATTTTTCTGAATTTGATAAATTTCGGTTCTTGCGGAATTATTTAAAACTCAATATACATTGAGTGCTTTAGATTTGTCTAAAAAAAAAAAAAAAAAAAAAAAAAAATTTGGAAATATTCTATTAACACCGACGTTATGCCAAATTTTAGATTTATATCGTTTGCAGTTCGTACGTTTGTTATTGTTTGCTGATATTTTTGCGAAGCTGATAAATATATTTACCAAGTTTTAGACTCATTTACTTTATTGAATGCAACTTTGAAACGATTGTGGATAGATCATGCTCATATGTAAATTCGATTTATGAACTATGAAAATATACATCCATCCAAGCTGTCATCTCAATTTTTGTATTCATTTCGAAAACAAGTTAGTTAGAGAGGCGGACCTATGGACAGACAGATGCAAGAATAGATAGATAAAAATGATAGCGTAATTGACGTACAATTGTGGGCCAATCATGGCCCATGTCTTGAAGACGTAGTCTTAGGCGTTACAAACATACCCATATCTCCAATTTTTTCCTAAGCATGAGACTTCAAATAAATTAAACGGAAATCGCCTGAATAAGTCAATTAAAATCTCATCTTATGTACGGTGCACAGAAGGATACTTCGAAGATATGTAAGACCAACATCGACGAGACGATCGACAATGAGACATACGGCTCATCAAGATGTTTGTAATTTGGTGCTTGTTTATAGAAAACACAAATACATCTTGTTTTTGTCAAAAGAATTTTGTATCTAAGAGAAAATTGGTATCAATTTATCGACCATAAAAATAGCCATGCGACTAGAAAGAAAGGAACAGTGCGATGCTTATACACTATTGAGCGAGCGGAACAGTATAGTTTTATTGAATCGCAATTTTCCCGCTAATAGTTTTTGCTCGCACGAGCAAAAGAAGCGTGCACAAAACACTTGAACATATTATGTACAGAGACCTATAGCGAGGATTCTATACATTGTGATTTACATAATTTATTGTGCATCTCCGAGACTGAGAAATTCTTGAAAATTGCGACATTGACTGCATATCCTGAGGTATTTGGTAGAAGTCTATAATAAAGCTTTATTCACTAAAGTTGCTTTATGATTGCGCTCAAGATAAGGCATTAAAATGCTTTTACATGCTTTTCGAACTGAGTTCGCTTGCAAGACATACGCGAAAGCTTTCCCTAGTTGAGCGCAGCAAGAGGAAGGTAATAAGAGATGTGCAAGTATCCAAGTACTTTACCGATATCTATATTATGTACTTTTGATTCACATTATATTAAACTTTATTACTGTAAACTTTCTGGACGCGGGCGGAAATATGCATTTTTGAAATGAAAACTGGAAAAAATACGAAAGAAATGTAGATCGGAAAGTTCGGGGAAATAGTCAAGAGATGCTCTTTAAGTGAAATTATTAATTTTAAATTAAATACAATTAAATTTTAATACAAAAATAAATTTTAGTATCATCGCTGCTTTCGTTTTCAGCAGTAAGTGATTTATACTAAGTCCGTTGGTTTCTTTTTTTTTGCAATGACATATGCCAATCAATCTGGTTTGTTTGTTTTTGTTTATTACCCCCAGGTATACCAGCACTATTATCCTTTTATCGTAAATCAAATTTTATACATATTATATATATTGTTATATATATATTTTCAATTACTAAAAATTACATACAGATGTATGTGATCCGTTCACAATAATAATCCTTATTAAAAAAAAAAAAAAAAAAAAAAAAAGATTAAATATTCTATACATTTTACTCATAATCGAATCCAACCAGCAACTAGAACGTATCCTACATACAGACATCTATACGGGATATTTATTATACTAGACACGATATCTTAATATTTTATATTAAATTTTTTTTTTTCCCATACATCATTTTTCGATATTTATAAATAAATGTATTTGTTTGGAACATTTAAGATAATGTATTAAAATTTCATCGCTGAATAGTAGCTAACATATTACATTGGTGTTGTTGTTGTTGTTTTTGTTTTTGTTGTTGTTGTCTCTTTATCTATTCATTCCTTGACAAAGTAAATGTGTACACGAGAGCAATGCAACACAATCAACAAAAATTTACGGAGAATGAAGGGTGTATTTGTTGTACGTGCACTGGAGAGAAAATGCAAGAGAGCTTTTACAATATTCGCTTATTTGCAAATTGCACACATATTTATTTACATGCCCGACATGTATGTATGCACGCATATATGCGCGCATTTGTCAACACAGAGGGACCATGTACTTCTAAACTAGCACATTAGCCATTGCAGTATGCGATGCGGCATAGTAAGATGTTTATATGCATATATATATACACTGACACTACCACATAGCAATAAAAATACTCCTTAGTCGTTATATCATGACAATGTATGGAGTAAGGCCTGAAATTATACGCCGTTATACAAACATTTTAAGGATGAAAAGCAAATTTTTGTATTAAAAACAATAAGTTTTTCTCTTCTTTGTTTAGTGCTTTGTTTTCCTTCAAAAATGCTTTGCTTTTTTTTTTTGCTTTCTTCTTTTTTAAAATTGGGTCAATTTATTCACAACACTCATATATACACACACCTATACGGCCAAAAACAAAATCTTATGATTAATAACAAAAAATAAATAAAAAAAATAAAAAAAAATATTCTCTTAATTAGATAAAAAAAGAAGGAAAAATTAGGGAAAAAAATTAAAAATATATAAACTTATGAAAAATCACTCATACGCTCAGGTAAATGTATTGTGCAAGCCCGTTCACATAATATTTGTTATTGCTGTTGGTTGATACGGTTGACTAATTTCGAATATTGGGGTCAAAAAATCGGAAAATATTTAATTGAATGCATAAAAACTTGCAAAACGAAAAAAAAAAAAATATTTTTTTTCGGTTTTTTTTTTTTTTCTTCCTATTTAATAAGGAAACATACTCATCACAATTAATTTGATCGATGATGATGATAATAATGATGCTATTGTCGTTATTGCTATTAATGCTGTTGTTATTATTATTTTTATTATTATTATTATTATTATATTATTGCGGTTATTACATTTAGATAAGTAATTGGCTTATGATCATCTCTTGCACTAGCACTCATCAATTTTAGTTCAAATTTTCATTATATTTTAAAATATATTTTTGCTGCTTTTTTATTGTGTTAAACGTTTTTCAATGTTTAAGTATAAGGGGGAATAAAAAAAAAGAACGAATCGAAAAAATATCACATGTACTGCAAGCTGCTGCTGTGCGTACGTGTCTTAAGCAAAATTGTACTTTTGTTTGAGAATGCCGCTGCTTGGTCGCAACATATGCAAGGTTCTACAATTGCACGCTTGCCAGCCATCGGAATTTAACAAAATTAAATTTTTATGTTGCTTACACGCACAGACACGCGTTTTAGGAAATTTTTCTTTCTTTCTTTGTCAATTCTTTCAAATAGGTTACATATACATATACACGCGCGCTCTGTATATTTTTACTTTTTTTCTTTTTTTTTTTTTTCTTGTTTTTTTTTTTTCCTTTTTCTTACATTTGTGTTCATGCCACTCCCGCAACGTTAAGTACGTAAGCCTTCGTAATAAAGTTTTTTCTTCCAATTTTTTCGGGAAACCTTTTTACACTCAAAGCATCGTCATATTTAAGCTTTCGAGTCTGATTCGTTTCGTTTATTCATAATGGAAATGGACGCGTTTCCTGACGTGCACACAGTTTCATAGTTTCGCAGTCTCCTCAACTGCAACACAAAATGACCGCCTGAGTGCTCGTGCAACACTAGGGCCAGAGTTTATGACATTATTACAAGATTGCTCAGAGCTTTTTTCAGTCTCTTACTTTTGAGAACCGCTTGTAAACCTACGCATATGCATTTAAATCTCATTTATGTTAATCCAACGAACAACACAAAGCTTAAAAGCATTGTAAAAATTTTATAAAAAGAAAAAATCAATTTCTCTCTCCTTCTACGAATATACATATATACATATATATATATATATATATATATGTCAGGAGAACGGTATAAATATTTTTCTACTCAATTCCCTAATATGTTTTTATTATATTTTTCATAATTAAAATATATATAAAACGCTATAAAACATTCTTTATCTTTTTATGTACAAAATAATAACTATATCCAAGTTTTGAACAAAAAAAAAAAAAAAAAAAAAAGAAGAAGAAGAAGAAGAAGAAGAAGAAGAAAATTATGTAAATAAAGGTAGAATTACTCTTAATTTATTACTGATTCCTTTCACATCTCACATAGCTTTGGCAATGCTCATGCGCTCTTCTTATCAAAGTTTTGTAAATGAAATGTTTTATTTAAAGCTATGACTGCAAATGAAACAAAATAATTGACAGAGAGAGAGAGAGAGAGAGAGAGAGAGCAATAGGGAACAGGAGAGAGTATTTGTGTATATATCGAGAAGAACGGAGAAACGGAACTATTTGCCAATTGTTAATATGTTGTTGTCATTGTCGTCGTTGTTGTTCTTCTTGTTGTTATTTAAAGAGCTTATTCATTGGAATGCATATTTAGTTTATATGTCAGTGTAACACTGGAACTTTTAATGCGCTATGTGGGCAGAAAATGATTTGAGTTATGTTCTTCTAAATTATGGAGAGATGGCATGCTGCAGTTATATTCTATCGATGATTAATTTTGAATTTCAATTTTTATATTACAAATGATCCGATCCGATCAAGCGACCGACCGACCGACCGACCGATTGATTCATAATATTTATTTATTAAGAGAGGACACATGATAAAAGAATCATTTGTATCTGTGTGTGATTCACAAAAGTCAACTTGAATGTATTCAAAAATATATTCAATATTAGTATGATGCGTAAGTAGAGAGAATTCGTTTCAAGTTAATTGTGTTTGTATTGTAAGAATTTGTCTTCAATTTGTTTCCCTTTTTTCTTTTATATTAATAACGGGATCATAAATATACGCACTTACCTCTGATGAAGTTAAATAGCACATGCGCGAGTCGGTGCTCTCAATGGATGCTTGTTGCACAATGCCGTAACGTGAATCGCGATCGCTTAAATAATCGGAACGCAAGCTATCCTGCCGGATGAATTCAGCTCTAAATTGTAAATAAAATACATAGATATTTTTTTTTTTTTTTTTTTTTCGAATTTTCACAATTATTTTAATATAGCCAGATTTAAGCACAAGTAAGAATAAATAGATTACCGTTGTTCCAATGAATCGGCTCGTGCACTTTTATAGCCGGAGTCATTGAGGCTGCTATCCTGACGCAAAGATGGCAACGAGTCCCATGGCGAACGCTTGTGCCCTGAGCTGCTAGTTTGCTGTGACACTAAACCTTGACCTGAACCAGAGCCAATCGTTGAGCTTCCGGATCGCCAACCGTCGGAGTGGCGAAACCACTGGGCTCGAGCCGATTCACCAATGCAGGAAGCACAACGTGAATTCGAGAAACTACCGATAAATATGATTTGAAAATGTATGTAAAGCCTAAACCTGACTGATTATTTGAACGTTGCAGCATTTCACTTACCTCGTATTATGATCGGATAAATATCCTCGTTCCCGTTCCCTTTCGCGTTCACGTTCACGCACAAGTTCATTACGATCACTATAATAGCCATCGCGTTCCCGGTCACGCTCCTTATCACGCACTGCCGTTAATGGCCGGTGTGGCGGCAACGGTAAAGTTGACGATTTTGCATTGCTGGCTGCCGTTCCCAAATAAATAAAAGAAAAAAAAAAAAAAAAATTTCCGCTAAATTATAAACGTGTATAAATGATTGATTATAAATAATTAATTTAAATAAAATTGTGACTTGGATATAAATTATTTTACATACACACTCACGTACATATACCCGCAAATCCACAAAAACACATACACATGAACGTACATAGATTTATATTATATATATATATATATATATATATATATATAAAATATATATATATAGTATAAGACACACAAGCACGCAACGTTACAATGAATATGGATGAATTGAAATGAAAAATTGAAATGAAAACATAACAAACAAACATTAGTAGTGATGATAAGATGTGAGAAATGCTTTTTATTCGAGCGGCTTATGAAGACTTCCTACTTACGCCTGCGTATGGAAAACGGGCTGCGTTGTGTAGATCCAGGTAGACTTTCGGCAAATTCTTTATTTATTTATTTATTTATTTATTTATTTTTTTGTTAACGTCGATGAGGCAATTTTTATGATATGTTTTTATTATTATTATTATTATTATTATTATTATTTATTTATTTTTTTTTTTTAAATGTTTTTTGATTAAAAGAAAAGTTTTTTTTTGATGCGAACGAGCAAGCGAACGGTGGTGGTAAGTTGGTTGTGCATGGAAATATAATGAACGATAATAATGGGTGTGAATATATAAAGTCATGATATATCAAAATTACAAATGGCAATATTCTCTTCTTTACCCCATAAACTTGTGAATATGGAATAAATTCTGTAGGCAAGAAAAAAAAAGAGTTAATGCGAAGTATGAAACGAAATTAGAAGGACTTTCTGCAGAAGGCGAGTAAAACAAGCGAAGGCAATGATGACGATTCCGTTTGAAAACGGACGGACGGATTTCATCTTACAATTGCTACTATTCTCACTATTTTTTATTACAATTTGAGCAAACAAATGGAATTTTTTTTTTTTTTTTTTTTTTTTTTTTTTTTTGGCGTTAAACGTTACAGAATGAAGAAAGTCTTTTATTTTTGTTTATTTTGCAAATGTCAAGGAATTGAGTTGCGCTTAACATCACTTAAGTATAAATCGAATTTGGTACAGATTAGTATTTACCGAGGTTTTCCATGCTCTGTGATAGTAGCGCCTCAAATGTATGCAGACTATACGATTCGGCATCCATGCCTTTGGCAAGCGTGTTACGCAAATGCATTTCATATTCGAGTAGTAATCGTGAAGTTGGACTTCCCGGTGTTGGTGTCACGTTTGGGCCTTGATGGCGATGTTGGTGACGCCCGCTGCCGCTGCCAGTGCCAACGCCAACGCCAACGCCAACTCCAACTCCAACTCCAACTCCGACACCTCCTGTTCGTTGACCATAGGATTGATCTTGATCGGAGTTACCGTTACTAGAGCTTGGCGTGGTAGCATAGCATTGATTATCGAACATAACGTTATCCGATGGTGGCGAACCTTCGATGCACGATCTTTCTCTTTCCAATTCCAAATACAAATTTCTAGGCTGATAGCCGCGGCCAATTTCATGTGAAGACCTTTATTGTTTAATTAAATTTATATACAATTTGAGTGACGCGTATGCCATTTATATTGTTGTTGTCTTTTAAGCGTGTCTTACCTTGATCCAGAGAAACGAGATTGTGACTGAGTGTTTGTACGAGCGCCAATCATTGTGTTGTTATTGTTCATTATGTGATGTATACCACCCATTCCACCGGTTATGGCAGTATGTGGATGCATGTGCTGCGAGCCGAACGTATTGGTTGCATTAGTATTGTAATAGTTGTAACGACGACGACCCATTTCAGGCGATGTGACTGGACTCTCGGTGCTGGGCATGGGTTTAAGCATGCGTTTCAATGTGCTGGTGTCAATATTCATGTCCTCGGTGCTTTTAGTTTTGCGTCTGGTATTGTTGTTAATTATGTTGTGTTGGTGCTGATGTTGATGTTGGTGTATATCGTGACCATGTGTATCGCGTGTCTGCTTAAAAAGCAAAAACGAAAAGTAATGCATTTTATACAATTTACAACATTTCAAACCGACATTCTCAAGCTAATATCACTGTGGCAAACATATACGCAGAGCATTTAACGTAAGCAAACGATTAGAGCTTATTTTGCTTTTTCAATTATTGCTATTTTTATTGCTACGCTTTAATTATTCAATATCGTTTTTTGATTAAACAACCGAGACCAGTACCGCGCTATCGAGCAAGTAAAGAAAATAAAGTACGTAATGATGTAATGAATGGAATAGAACCAAGCGAAAGAAAGACCGTGTAATGTTGTATACGCGCAATTGTACCTATTGTTATTACTGTGCGACATTAATTGAGACACCGATACGGGTTCTCGCTTGTATTTATACACACGCGCCTGTATGCATATACGTCAATGGTTTCGTTCATTAATTGCTAATCCAATTGTTGGTCTTTTTCATTGTTCTTACGCTTTACGGTTGCTTACCATTTCCTCTGCATAATCTTTAGTGCGAGTGCCTGTTGATTTAGTAGATGTGCCTACAGATTGATGTAATGGACCTCCGACTTGGGTACCTTCGCTTTTAGACATTTCGACATCGGATTGTGACGCTATATTATCTTCTGGTCCTGCTTGAGAGCCTACGTGATTTTGCGTGCATATTTCTCCTGTCTGCATATTGCCTGATGACAGCGTGTTAGGCGCGCCCGTGCAAGTTCCACCAGATGAAGTTGTTGCAGCAGCATCTTGCGTTTTGATTTGTCGTCCTAGTGTATCTGTAAAATGTTCCGCAATTTTTATATGCTACGCTCCGCAAAATAATCAAATCAGCAAAATTAATTTACCGGCCGTAGATGGCATAGTTTGAACGGTCGATACCGCACCAGGAGCGACATTGTCATAAAGCGACGTAGTGCTTGCCGCATTAGTGACCTTTTGCTGATGTTGGCCATCGCTGTCAGTAGCAACACGGGAGCCTACGTTACGTGGCAATGTTGATGAGCCTGAGTCGAAATTAAATTTAACTAAATACCTTTTATCTATATTCACTATTACATGCACTTACCTCGCACTCTCGGATCAGTTCTAAGTCTTGCATATTGCTCAGCAGACATGCAGGTGCACTGCGGTTCACTACGTACACGTGACGGCGATGCTGGTGTACTTAATGGCTTGCGTTTAGCCTTAACTTTACCTTTACCAGGTGGATCCAGTTTCAGCGAGTAGCTGGATGAGGCCTTTCGTGAAAATTTGAAAGAAGGCGACTGTAAAATGTCGCACTAGCATTAGGTTATTGTATGTATGGGATGGATGTTGTAAGGTTCACACTATATGCGGTTCTCTATAACTGTCCTCTACATATTTCTTCATATATATATTAAATTTTTGTTAAATATATGCATTAAAATCGACATATATTAGCAACAAAAGTTAACCGCGCAAAACTACAAAACGGACTTTTACACCACTACATATACAATCATACTAAATAAATAATCGCTATTAGAGGAATATTCAATGATCACGAAAAGGAGCTCTCTGCTCAACTCGTCTATTTACTAATAAAAATTATTGCTGTGAAAGCGTTTATGTGAGAAGCATAAACTCTCTTGCCCGCTAACATTTGAAAATTATGCTCATATTTTCTTTATTATAAATGTGTTTCTTATTGTTACTGTTTTGACGTGTGTTGGAAAAATCAGTTATTTTTGAATTCACTGTTGGTTTCCATATATATTAGGTGCTCAAAGCGTGCAGGACAAAATTACTGAACGGAATTAAAAAAAAAATAGACACAGAAAGAGATAGATAAAGAGAAAGACAGAGAGAGAGAGAGAGATAGAGATTGAGAGAGAGATTGAGAGAGAGATTGAGAGAAAGGGAGAGAGAGAGAGAGAGAGAGAGAGAGAGAGAGAGAAACAGAGAGAGGTTTTATGAAAAAAAGCTAAGAAGTCCTACATACCTCTTCTTCAAGAAACCGCTAGTTATTGGATGGGAGAATGGAGAGAGGTTGCTTGTGCTTAACGGATAAGGTACATAAGAAGGCACATTGGGTAGGATGCAATTGGAGAAGGGATGAAAAAAAAATATTTTGCCAGGAAGTAGTGCATGTGCGATAGTTCACAAGAATTTGTTTTACATTTTAAATTATGTTGTTGATGAATCACTACAAAAATATTGCTTCTTGCACACTACAAACATGTAGTTTGCGGTGCAATGCAAATGCAATCGAGTTTATTATTACTTATAAACAAAGAATACTAATGATGTCTAGAATATTTCGCGAATTCATTTACCAGCAAGATGAAATGAAGTTCAATGTAAATGCACGACGATCATGATCAAATCGAAATGGAATGATACTGGGAAACTTTGATTGTCTGCTAAATGATCATCAAACTGAGAACAACAATAATAATGAGCCGTAAGCAAAAGAAAAAGAATAAGTAAAACTCATAGATATGGATTAATGTTGAATTTCTCAATCGCCATCACAACCTTATCATCTTTGTATGACCATTCAGTTAAACGTGTTATAGCGCAAAATTATTTACTTGATATATTTCGCATATCACATTGTACCGTATACTCGTTCATGCGTCTCCAATATCCTACGCATTTCAAATGACATTTTCACACACGCTACCAACATCTTATAGATAAATCTATTCTACAAAGGCAAAACAAAAAAAAAAAAAAAAAAAAGGAGAAAAGCAATCAGCTTTTTAGGTTATTGATAGTGATCTGGTGCAAGGATCGGTTTGATTATAAGAACTATAATAAACTAAGGAATCCTAATCATAATTTTATTAGAACGAACGAAGCTAAATCGATTTCTGTCAATGCTGATCTCAAAGCAAAAAAAATGTATACAACTTAATGTGTATTAAATAAGCATTTCTACGCGTGGCAATCGTTTGACAAATTTAATGTATATATATATGTATATATATGTATATATAAAATTAGTGAACATAATAGATTTTGCGGGAAGCTGGTCCTGGAAGCTTTCGCCGAAATTAGTAGAGAGAAACTGCACTTTGCCAAACCTATTGCATGAACCATGTCTGGCGCATAACTCAAATTCAAAATTCAATGAATACCTTGATAACTATTAATGTAATGGGGGATGGGGGATCTTGTGACTTAGTATTTAAGCTTAATGCGAAATCATTTTGGATCTTGGATTTTGTTAACCGGAATACGCGCGTGTTTAACAACACTAGATGATCATTGGAATCAATGAATCGCTGAATTAATTGCAAATCGACTTCTTATGCAATTCATTGCACTTATCAAACGATTTACTCGTTTGTAATTGGTGCGTTAAAATAGAAATGAATTGCATTACAAAATTCTCGCCAAATTCATCAAAGATTTTTATTACATGACTTGACTAGAAGCGGCCGCTTTTCTAAAAGGTCTTCTGTTGTCTTATATATTTATTAGTTTTTCAATTTCTTATGATTCTCATAAAAAAACGACTAATGACGTCATCGTGAATATTTGATTATTATGGTTGATTAATGCGTGCATGAATGTAAAATATATGGCTACCGTAGGTGAATACATATGTGAATGATATGATATGTAAAGCATATGTATGCGTATGAAACTAATGGAAAATTTTGTCATAATGCTAAAAGGCGGATAATACGAACACACGTTTAAGCGTTTGTTAATTTAATTAATTAACGCACACATTAGAATACTTACACAACACTCGCGAAATTGTTTGGCATCAATGGGTGACGTGAAATTTAGGCCCCAGGTATCATTGGTCATAGGATCCTTCCAATAGACAAAACATTCTGAAGCCTGGCCAATGCGTGTACCTATGCATGCGTAAATATAAATGAATACTAATAATAAACTTATATACATATGCACACAATCATACACACACTCACGCACATGCACATTCCATTGCCAAGTACGTTAGAGAGGCGAATTCGATCGCCAACGTTATGCTGACGCATATGAAAAGCATGGCTATACGCAATGCGACTAGATCTAGTCGAGCGTAAAATCAAAATGATCCCAATAAGTAGCCAAAAGAAAAGAAGAAAATCCGAAAGTATGCATGTGAGAAATGGAAATCACGTTACTGACTCTTCCTTTGCGCTAAAGTACCCAAGGTGATAAGCGCCAATCGGTTATGCTTCAAACAGCACGTTCAAGGCGCTATTGATATAGTGGACGGGAGTCTATCCGCTTTCAAGCGAATTAGGTTAATCGGGAGAGGCCTAAGAAATGTTAAAAAAATTTTTGGGAAGATGGTTACGTCGATCATATTGCATGGCAATCCAAATGGCCAATGGCGACTATCGCTGTAGTGGTCTTAGGCCAATATTCGGCGCCGAAAAATTTTTGGAAGAAGCGGCCCTACTGACCGCGATACCGATTACGATTGATATACTTCAGATTGAACGCTCGAGATGAGATAATGGGCATTTACTTGTCTTGGCTAGAAAAGAAGGAATGCTTCCCACTCGATAAGCACGTGGCAAGCAAGTTGGTAATGGTCGTGAAAGGTTAAGCAACCTTCGCGCTCATCTCTAACGTATCGCTGTTATCAGAAAGAAAGCTTCGGTAGATGAATTTCTACCACGCGCAATTTCTGACCGGGCAAGGTTGTTTTCGAAAGTATCTACATAGATTCGTATGTGATAGTTCTTCACTGGCACGCCTGATTTGTGTGAATGCGAAACAAAATGTAAAGCGTATGATGTTTAACTAACGAAGGTTTACATGGGAATTGCATGAGATAATTAGCAGTATAGTCGGCAGTCGCAAAGTGTGCAGTGTTATGAGCAACCTTCTGAGGAAGATGCCAGATGGCTGAAACGGCAAGCAGAGGTGAATAGAAGTTAATGGAGGAATCTACCCAGGGCCCCATCAGAGGAGGCGCACTAATTAAAACCAATCCCGACGATCTAATAGATAGCGGTAGTCTCGTGGATCCCACGGAATAGACCGATAGAACAAATGTATGCAAGTGGTAGATGTAATGCGTAGGTGTCATGAATGGCGAATGTGCATGTTACTGGGTTGGACCAGTAAAAAATACGCGCAGCCATACGCAGATGTATATATATTTTGCACTAAATATAATAAATTCAATCAATGCACTTACCAGGTTGCACAAGTCTGACATCGAGTATCTTATCTACCTGGCTGTTGTAGGCCGTTATATGAAATACGCATTCAGGAGAGTCTTGAATGCAGGTGATATTAACAGGAACCAAATCTTCGGAAACTTGCTGCCATTTCACTGTTCCAGCACCGCTGGACGAAACATGAAACACCTCCGCCCATAACCTGAACGAACTGTTGCGAATTAGCCAAACGATTAAAATGATGATGATGATAAGTAATATTGATTGTTTGCAATGATGATTGAAGGCACAAAAATTATTTTGTATATTGTTTTGCCGTTTTTAAATGTTGTTATTGTTGTTGTAATTATTATTATTATTATTATTATTATTATTATTATTATTATTATTATTGTTGTTGTTGTTGTTGTTGTTGTTGATGTTGATGTTGATGTTGATGTTGATGTTGTTATAATGTGGCTCATGTGTTGTGTATGTTATATCGTTTGCAATATAAAGGTATATATTGTTGGAACCATTGTCGTTTGTTGTAAAAAGATGCGTCATTAAATGTTTTCAAAAATAAAACGAAAATAGAAACTAATAAACTCCGTTTGACTTTCAAATGAAAACAATTCTCTTTAGTTCATTTAGCAGATACAAGCAGCGTACAATCGAGCGTACTCATCAATTTGACGCATGTGCGATAAAATATTTTCGAGTTTCGATGAAAATCTGATAATTTTATGCTATATAAAGACTTTGAAAGAACACTCTCGGAATGCTCAGGCAAATTTCTTTGAAGCTTCAAGTAATGCATCGCAATCATTTGCTCATGGCTATCATAAACGTGACTCTGTTAACCTTAATAATCGGAAAAAACTGAACTTTGAAAATGAAGTTTAACTGAAACAAAAATTTGTTATTTGCAAAACCCACTAAATCCACAAATTCGGATATCATTCGTTAATGGATGCTTTTGTTGTAGTTGTTTATGTGTTCAAACAATAAATATGTAACTTTTATATTGTAGCGGACAATTTGAAAAGAAATATTTTCTTCTACAATAAAGTTTCAACGTCCATCCAAAGGATAATTAATTTGTCGCATTAAGAAATCAATAAAAAGAAGGAAACAACAACGTAATAAACATTCGATCACCTTAATAAATGTCCATCACGACGACGTGAGCTCTGCCACGGCGAATCCTCATACCGATAGCCTTTGCGTATTAATGGCGCGCACGAGCAGCTCAATTTATTACCCATGGCACAACTAGCACAGCCACCCGTTTGACCACCTAATTATCACATGAAGAGAAAATCAAAAAAGATAAAAGAAAACAGAGAAAAGTGATGAGAAAAACACAATATACATATATAATCAATTATAATAATAATTTACATAATTAAGTTAATAAAGCGCACGTTACACATAAACATAATATTCGTTTACCTACCTGTCGCACCCCGATGTCACCACATTGCGCTTACGTCGGCCTGAGAAAGGGCTTGACCGCGATTTAGAGACTGCGAGCGTTGATTATGTCGATGGGCGTGATATCGACTGCTTCTCTGTAATTAAATTAGACCAACATGTCATTTACGTGCTCATCGCTCATGAACACTTAGGAAAACGCATAAGGCATCTTTGAATTTCTTAAAATAAATAATTTAGTTGCAGACAGGTCTGTCTCTTGAAAATATTGCTTAAGATTGATAAGACTTTGACAGGGTATATGAATAAAACCGCTAGTAATATATATTTTTCACAAAATTTTAATTTTCACCTTCAGGGAACAAACATATCTACTTATATCTCTGAGATATAAAATATTTCGCTTAGATTCAAATTATCTTCGCAGAGAATCTAATTAAATCCCTTATTGTATTTCTTCCTATAGTTTGGATGCTGCTGCTGCTCTCTCTCTCTCTCTCTCTCTCTCTCTCTCTCTCTCTCTCTCTCTC